TATATATATGTATATGTATATATATATATATGTATATATATATATTTATAGGCTTATACACGTATACATATGATATGTGAATGGCAATAAAATATATGTATATACAAATATTTATATGTTCATATGAGGATTATACGTGCACACAGATAATACGACTACGCCTACCTGTACGCTCCGCTCTATACACGCTGTGTAGACTTGTGCTGAGAGCTCCTAGGTCAAACTCAACAGTGTGCTCTACATATTCTTGTAGTCCACCTTCTACGAGCAAGTCATCGGTCTCACCCAAATACGCATCCGATTGAGCATCAGCATCATCCTCTAAAGCCACAACAACGTCCCTGCTGGGCTGCAGATCCAATGCATCGTCTTCGTCTTCAAAGTGGTCCAAGCCTAGTGAAAACAGCCGATCGAATCATTTCAAAATTGGGACTGAAGTGGCAAGCACCGTTACAAACGATATCAAAAGCGGCGCTGGGGCATGAGCTCCTATACACGCAAATTCACAGACTGCCGCCCTGAGTTTGGATAACTGAAAGATACAGCGAAATGCATGCAGGATATTTACATAACGTTTACTGTCGTATGAAAAACCAAACGGGTAAATATACGCGTAAGTACACATAAATGCACACCTTGCTCTTGTTGTTCATACAATTATATACACAACAACACATGTGCATACAGGGCGAGCAGGTAATTTAAGTACATCCTAAATACAAAACAATAGTTTTCAATTCCAGCACGTGGTTCAATTTCTGATATACATATATGTACACGATAGTATATACCAACATTATATTTACAAATGCCCTCACCTATGGTAACGTCTTCTACTTTCCCCGGCCCTCCGTCTTCTTGCCTTTGCCTTTCTCTTCTGGTACTCTCCCTGTCATCAACAGGTGTGTCTGGTTTTTCAGTGCGCAGCCCCCGCCCGCTTATAGCCACAGCGGGACCCACCCTTACCAATTTCTTGCTTCTGTCTCTATCACTGTGTTTTGATTTCTTATGTTCCCTGCGCATCTCGGAGTCCTCTCGCGCCCTCGCCAAACCTCCCGAGAGTACCGGAATATCGTTCAGATCTAAACCAGAGTCGACCTTCCTCTTACTCCCGTGCCTTTCTTTTTTACTACGCCCGTTCTCACCCCGATTATCATACTCCCCCGAGTCCAAGATCTCATCACACAGCTCTAATATATCATCACCATCACTTAGTGCCGCATCAGCCCCTCTTTTCCACTGGGATCGGTTTTTATCCCCATGCACAGTTTTGCCTTCACCAGCACTCCAATCTCCGTCTTCACTGCGACTGTCCATGTCGCTGCCTGACTCTGACTCTGTGTTCAGGTCGGCGCTTTCCTCTGACGATACTATATACTCGACATCATTCGCGTCGACAATAATAGCTTTGCGCGCTAACTGTTCCGTTCGCACTCTGATTGAATTCTCAGACGTTCTCTCGATGTTGCGTTGGCCGTTAACGCTCTCTACATTGACAGACAAGGGAAAACTTTAATACAATGAATTTCGTTTGTGGCTGATTTATGAACATCTTTCACAAATAGACAGGTATATGTATAGAACGATGAAGCCAGAATGAATTCATTCGCACCAATGACTCCATCGATATGAACATGCACATGGATTTTAATATTTTCAGAAAGTGATATTGAATACATGCATTTTGTTAATTATGTGATGTATGTGTTTGCATATTTGAAAATAATTCTCTTTGTTATACTTTATTTATAAAAACATGCAGGTGGTAGAATGTAAATTTGAAACTGTCGCTGTAGCTCATGAGATACGATGTGCATCTATTATAAACAATACACAAAGGTGCTGCATTCGTCGCACTTTAAGTAGCTGTGTCGTTGCGTATGCAATTGTCGTACTGGGAAAGTTTACATGTGCTCATATCACGCATACAAATACACGTGAACACACGCACACAGATATACATCGCCACACAGATTTACAGGTTTGCAGGAATGTACGCACTACATTCACACCTGAAATACAAATTTAGCACAGTACAAGGCAGCTTCCTTTTGTACGTATATCGGGATGGCCGTAGCACTCTCAGCCACTGTCGGCTCTGTATCACTGACCCTACAGTCTAGTTCCTCTACGCGCTAGATCCATACACACCCACATACATGCACACATGATCCTACAGTCTAGTTTCTTTACCCGCTAGATCCATACACACCCACATACATACACAAATGATCCTAAAGCCTAGTTCCTTCACCCGTTAGATCCATGAACACCCACATATATACACACGATCGGGCGAACATACGAGTGTATCGACACGCAATACCCAAACGCACGCAGACCCACCCCGTTTGTCAGTGCTATCCTGTTTTGTAGTAGCTGCCGTAGCTTCGTGTGATATCGGCAATACCGCGTCCTTTGCATCCGCCGGACTCAGAAGCACAGGCCTCACAGGCTGATACACTGCAGTTATGTATGTATTGCGCATTCGGGTAAGTTAATTTCACCTCAGACATACTGGTATATCAGATCAGCACTGAAATTTTGTGTGGTCTAGATTAATTTTAGATGAATTCTGGGATTTCCCAGTACAAAAGATCAGCTTAGAATCCATGAATTACCCATATCCGAGAGATCAGCCTGAACATGCGTTATTAGTCATCAGAAACGTAACCTAGTGTGACAACGTTCCTACAATATCATAGATATTCCATGCCACTCAGAAGCGTACTCACTCGAAGAACGTTTTGACTGCGTACTTTCGGCATCACACTCGCATACATAAAATTATTTATTCTGTAATATGACACCACCGGACGCAAACACGCATGGAGCGCTGGCAAGGAGATTGCAACTAAAACCACATTTGCATACGATTTCTCGTTCAGATGTTGTGACTATGAGTGTTTGAATGCAGATGACCGTCGAGGGTTAGTATGCACTAACTAAGTTGTTATGTTGAGTTTCCACGCGAACGTACGTACAAGTACCATGTGCATCAATAGAAATTCATTATTCCAAGGCACAGGTGTCTAAATGGGGTCGTAGCACGAAATATATACGTTACAATAGCCGAAATCGTGACGTGGGCTGTTGGCATTGATATTATGCAGGAAACAACGATTTAAGTTTCGTATCCAATATAAGACACCGACAGAGGCAACGTGTATCAAGCTCTGCACATGTCACGACATGCACCAGCTGGGGCGTGTGCGTGTTAAAGTGCAACTCTTTGCAACTTGGGGCATACAGCATATGACGAGGACGCCGCAGCCGAGTATTTGGCCCGTAACCCTACAAGGACCACTAGTGGCTAACCACTGAGATGGTGCGTGTGTATGTTTGCGAGTCAAGTAAACGTAACGAAGATAGTGGCAGCATGCGAGGCACCAACATACCATTTTTCAAAGTGGTCTGCACTGCATATGTATTCCTGGAGGGCTCGTACATTCCATCAAGCGTGGACTTGATAAGGGCCAGGATTGACTTCTCCTCATGCAGGTAAACTACGGATAGAAAATCAACATAAATACATCGGTAAAGAATTGGGCTTTCACACAACGGAAAGTCTGGCTGAAACAACAATGTATAAATGTATGACACTCAACACATCGCACACGCTATAGATGTTCCACACAATAGTCGCCAGCTGATTCCGAATCAGTGACACGCCGCACCATCCATTGCTACTAACACATACAGCAGTCGACTAGGATAGCCTAGAAACACCACAGAAACTTGTCACTTTTACTGAACATTTGATAGCAATATCAACCGCACATCAATTGTTCTAGCTCACGCGATGTATCCAATATTCAAATCCTGTCACTCGCACCGGTCCCATTGCAACATATGATGTAATCAAGATCTATGCATCATATATGGTGGCAAATTTCTCATACAAGCCGGAACATTCGCATTTCACATTCTTCGAGATCATCTTCTAGAAATTGGGGATCTAAGCAGATACCTTGTGTATCTTCTGTGCGCACACGGTGAAGGAATTTCATAGAGGGACGTTTACCACATAAATAAATGCTTCTTTGGTAGATACAAAGGGCACAACCAACTTATTATGATACACGTTCCGGTAAAATAATAAGGCGATCGTCTGAACATGCAAATACGCACACATCCAGTGATAATGTTATCTATGCACTGCTCTTGGCACATCTTACCTGTTCGCTTATCGGGCGTCACATTCACGTCGCAATTCGCTCTCTGCGCAATGATATTCAATATAACTACTGGATACTTGTGCGCGTTGAATGATCTGTAGGATTCATTTACCGCTTTCGCCACCTGTGTGAGTGTGTGTGTGTTTTGCATGTGTGGGTAAGTCGGACGCGAATTTTTCGGGATGTGAACTCATTCTCTTGCAAGCGTTTGTATACAACTGAATTAGGTACTATTGACATGTTTCCGTGTACTAAAGAAGACACTTGTGTATACAAGGAAAAAAATGAGCTTGAACACGCATGTGTGTGTATATATTTTTGTATTAATATAGATACAAACGAAAGTATGTGCGTATAAAAATATGCTCCAAAGAAACGCTAGAGGTGCTCAGAAGGACAAGTAGTCATACACATAGCAATATAAACCTGACGGCCTGCTCGTACAGTATTTTTTCATCAGGACATCACACACGTATGCAGTCTCCGGCACAATGTCACTATCACTACAGGTGAAGTACAAGATCTACCAGGATTGCGATTAGACCAATGCCCATTATGCAATACTTGGTTAAACATAATGGCTACATTTATAGTACACGAGTGACACTTTTGTGTGCTATAACTTACAACTTACAACCGCGTTACACTGTACAAATATCTGTGTCGCCTCCCTTCAGTGATAACGTTCGGCTTACATCACAACTATGAGTTTGTCCTGTACGCTTTTATGTGCGTTGGTTTTCATAAATACGCTTGTGTTGCTACGATACCTTCACCAAATCGCACGGTCGTCCATTGACGTAAAAGAACTGCCTATCAGCAGAACTCCTCCCACACGACACGGGTAGCACATTTGAAATCAACCCCTCGATCTTCAGGATGGCCTCTGTTTGGTGCAATTACAACAAAAGAACAAAGTTGCCGCTCACACTCACATTCACCTGCGGCAAGGTGCCGCAAGTCTGCTAAAAACCAATATATCGATCACAGTGGAGAGATTTAAGCTGCTCCTCATGGTATAATTTGATATCCTATCTCCTTAAATAACATCTCATGACTATTATTGTGATGGCTATAAACATGCGTATTCGTAGGTGTGCCTGAGGAGTACGTTGTGTATGGTTTTGCATGTGGATGTATTTTGTTGGGCAGGTGTAGTCGCAGCTAATATATGTTGCTCGGGCGGTCTTGCGAGTTCGTGTAAAAATATCATACCACATACTAACATTCTTGTTTTGCGCCGCGTATTAAAAACAAATCGAGGGAATCAAAATTGTACTGCACCGCAATGGAAGATAGATGCGCCTCGAAGCGCTTCTACCCAACAATTAACCACATCCGCGACATATGGCATGCTGAATTGGAGGCACTTGAATCTCACCTGGTAAGTGTGCTACTCTCTCATTCACAGCAGCCAAACCTTTTTCATGTTCGCTTTCCTTCTACTCATTGCACATACCTTCTCCGCTGGGGTCGGCAGCTTTGATTTCGATGGGAGATACTTCTCTGCCCTGTTTAGCCCCAAACACATTGATGAGGTTGGTCAAGACGTTCTTGTTGTTGCCCGTACTTACCATTTGCTGCCGAGAGCTGTGCATGACGAACAATCACAATAAATCTGAAAGCTGTAGAAGATAGTTGAGAATGTATGGTATTGACAGTGTTTCGAGAATGCGGAGGCGATTATAACGCTTGAATTGATTGTAGAAACAGGATCCGCCGGTTCATTTGAGGTCTGCTCTACTACCATAGTGTTCCATTGGGAGAATCCGGTTAAAACGCAGCATGTGCTTGGCGTCCATATGAACTGCGATCTCATATCGAGAACTCATGCCGTTGGAGGGATTACTGGTGGACTATAGACAGCCAACGCCTTCAAGATGTTGTCATGAATTGGAAGAGAGTAGTAAAGAATAGCAGCAAACAGACCTGATGTAAATACAATCTAATTTATGTTCGCATGAACAATAGTACTTGGATGTTAACACTTTTGCATTTTCATGCAAACGCAAAAGCGGAAAGTGGAAAATATAGACCTTTCAAAAATATACGCATAAATTATTGGCTTTGCAAGGCTGTGTTTACATGCATGCCAATCGACATTCCCCCCGCAATCTCTCTCATATAGCTCCATGGTCGATATAAGCGTTGCGAATTCGACGGAGCCTTCTCAAAAGCCATGAATGAATATCAGTACTACACTTTGAAACAGATATACTAGATTCAATGAAAACTAGATATAGATGTATATATACGTTGAAGACATATACATGCTGTAGATGGCGTGCACATACAACTGGAAGCTTGCACATGTAAATGCTGGTAAACACATACCCCCTTAGTGGCTGGTTGGTGCAAATTATGCGAATATTGGTAGAAATGATGCAGTATGCCTGAATCATCTGCAGAAGCTTAGCAAACTGTAAAGTGAAAATTAAGGGTGTCGTTCAGATTATCGTACACAACATATGGTTCGTTTACAGAATGTTTAAATGTATGATAGTTCTATATTTGAGCTATTTTCGTAGATAAAAAATGGAGAATACTAGGCATTGGAATAAGTTTTTAGCACACCAACGTGAGAATTATCTTTTCGCACGTGAGAATAGACTACAGACTCGAAACTTGATTTAAAGATTTAAAAAATCTAGCAGGGCATAAACCATTTGCGTGTAATTGTAAACAATATATGTAATAATGCGACTTTACATGACCACTTGATGACAGTGGTCCCGACTTGCAGCAGTCGCGAGAGCATGAGCACCAACCAGTACTCGTGTCAAATCCGAAAAAGTGTGTATCTTTAATTTGCCTTTCGTAGGGACTATTTTTTGTTCAGTCTCTTTGTGTTAAGGTGACTAGTTTCGTATTTCAGTATATCGACTGGTATTCATAGCGAGGCTAAGCATACAGACTGTATCAACAACCAAGAAACCATCACGTCATGTATATTCAACCTGTTTTCCGTACATTGTACAACTTTTGGCACTTTATCCAGGTACTACAGAGAAACCCTAAACCATACATGCATGCAAATCGAAACATATCTAACACTCACCTCTCTCTTGATATTTTTTTGCAGTTGTTGGTATCGCACTGGCATTCTAGAAAACAACTGTTCAATGACCACGGTGGTGCCCGTGCCTCGAGGTGCGGGAGTCTGGGACACGATGTGTCCATCTGCGTCGTACACTATTTTTGTTCCTGATGTTTGGTCTGCCATCCTGGTAGTGACGGACATCTTCGGGGCGAGCAGTGGGGACAAAGCGATCAAGAGGGAATGAGTTTGATCTACGGTCCTATAGAAGAATGCTATGACATAAGAAGAAGAAATCAAATGACTTTTGAGGATTTTGTGAAAAACAACACCATAACCTCAACTGAAATTTTTGCGGAGCAGGAACTGAGCAAATGCCTGGAGGTGTGCGGCCCAACGAAACGCCTACTTCTTCGCAACAGTTTTTCGACTATAAATATATATCTAAAGTCTAAACATCTATGGGTACATCAATACGAAAATATTGCAATATGTAGATATTGTTGCGTATCAAAATTGTCCGCAATGTATATCGTTAGCAAGATTGTGTACGTATCCGTATATATATATATATATATATATATATATGTGTGTGTGTGTGTGTGTGTGTATGTGCGCACGTGTGTGCATATATATATATATATATATATATATTATAAGTATATATTTATATATATATATATATATATTATAAGCACATATATATATATATATATATGTGTGTGTGTGTATATATATATATATATATATATATATATATGTGTGTGTGTGTATACAGGTACATATATATATATATATATATATATATATATTATTTTGTATATATAAATATATATATATATATATATATATATATATATATATGAGTGTGTGTGTGCGTGTGTGTGTGTGTGTGTCTCTCTCTCTGTGTGTGTGTGTGGTGTGTGTGTGTGTTGTGTGTGTGTGCGTGTGTCTGTCTGTGTGTGTGTGTGTGTGTGTCT